TAAGCGAAACGGTGCGCTGCAGAGATACCCGGTCGAAACCCAAAATACCCGACCGGGTATTTCGACCGGGTATCGCGACCAGGCAGCTGATTTAAGGAAGAAGAAGGCCAACATTGAAGGGTTCCGAGTTTTTGAGAGAGAAATCGATTCCTAGAGAGAGAAAGCGACGAACCAGAGTTCCCAAGCGCCATAGATCGATCTTCAACACCATTGGAGCCCGGTTTGAGCTTGGAGAAGTGCGATTAAACGTCCAGGAGCAGGAATCCAACTTCACAGTATGATTTCCGCGTCTGAATCTGCTTTTGCTTCTTTCTCTATGGAGTAGTTTCCCCATTCATCTGGGTATGGAGAACCCTAGATTTGTATGCTAGGTCTGATTGTATGAACCCAAGTACAGAGTTTGTGAATTGATTATATTCGATTGAGGTTTGAATGATCGAATGACTTGAATCCTGATCAAATTCCTGTTGTTTCTGCTTTAACCTAGAATGAGAATATCTGCCTAGGTTGATAGAGTACCCTTAATCGAAGGTGGCGAATTGGTGACTTTAGTCGAGGAGCCAATTCGCTATTCTGTACCGAAGTCAATTCGGTAGTGGAGGTTTGGTTCATTAGGGCCTCAATCTGTTTACTCCGGTGGAGGTTAGTCGCCCGCTAGAGACTCAGATTGGGAGGGTCTGGAGACCTTTAGTCGAGACTTCAGGCTAATTGAGAACCTTCCGCAGTATAACTTTCATGAAAACTGAACTTGGTAAATTGCAATCTGACTTAACTGCAGTCTAGGGGGAACCATATCCGGGTGACCTCTCTTGACTTGACAACAAACCGTTTACTTGCTTGTGTGTTCTGTTTGCTTGAGTTGCACTAAAAGTTCACCTCTAAATAACAAGAATTCACCGAGTAGTCATCACATCTAGGACCCGGGTTGACATTAAAACCCGACCCGCTATACTACGCTTTAGGAAGTGGTTATACTTGGCCATTTTATAGGGTGACAGTAGGAGTGAGTCAGCCACGTAGATGAACCGCGGCCACGTTACAAACATTCGTTAGTCTAGTCAGCAGTCGTAACATTCCTGTTAAAGTTTTGGAAGGAATGGCTATACTAGTGTATTTTTCAAAATTTGGCTATATTTGTCACAACTCGAATAGTTATGGCTATGAAAGTGTATTTTGCCATTATCGTTTTGTTTAAGTGATGACTATGAATGTTTATTTGGGAGGATTTAGACATAATTGACCTATTTGGGGTAGGAGAGATTATTTGAATAGTAAAAGAAGAATAATTAGCCTTTATATTCTATAATGGGAGATTATTTCCATTCAACAATAATTTGTTCCCGTGTCTTTGATGGTGATGTCTTTGGGGATCATGATGTGTTCTGTACTGGTATTGTGGGCATTAAGCATCGGTATAACCTCATTCGAGACACCTTACTGGACATCTGTTATAGGTCTGGGATTTCTATCGAAAAGGAGGTTGATATCGGTTTGGCTGATAGGCATGAGGACCCCTTCATCCTGCGGATTTGCTGCTTTATTCCTGGAATAGGGGGCGAGATGTGTGTATTGATCTGACTGGGTCTTCCCTTTGACTCAGACTGGGATGAACGCTTTTGTGCCCGGCCGAGTTGTAGATGATGCCGCTCGCAATGCAATCAAAATCGCGTTTTAAAACTTAAAATCTTACGGTTTTACGCTTCTAGGTCACTAAAACGCTTTCGTTTCCATGTAAAATCTTAAGTGCATGAAATCGGACAAAATTGCGTTTTAAAGCTTAAATGCTTACGCTTTTACGCTTCTATTTCACCAAAACGCTTTGCGCTTCTATTTCACCAAAAAGCTTTGCGCTTTTACGTTTTTAGTTCACTAAATGGATATTCTTTTCATGAAATTAATTATAAAAAGTATATTGTAAAGGGAAAACACCAACAATATGATAAATTTTAGATGAAAAGATACATATCAGGTACTTGGATGCATTCTCAACTTCAGTAGAGTAATCTAATTCACTAGCTAGGCCTTTCCCAAATTTATTAACATAGACAGGAAGGTGGCTTATTGTTAAGATCTATGTTTATAAACTTATTGTTAAGATACTATGAGTTGCTCTACTTTAGACGTGAACTACAAGTATTTATTAACTTATCCAAATTCTGTGCACTCATATTTTACATAGTATATATCGTACTCAACAGATTTTTAGTTATTTTGCAGTATGCGTAAAAAACTTATGCTTTTACGTTTTGATTCTGCGCTTTACGATTTTAACCCTTTTCCGCCTCTAGGTAGAATCGCGCTTTTAACTGCATTGGCCACTCGGCGAAAGTGTGCTAAGTATCAGGACTTGTGCATGGCTACTGGTTACGGGTTCCTGCCTTTTTCTTTCTCTTCGCTGGGGGACTTGGATTCGGATGTTGTGTCTTTGCTTAAGCGCATCCAGAATTCTCCGTGTCTCTGAATGCGGGGGCTCGGGCCAGTGGTGGATCTAGAAATTTTTAACAGGGGTGTCCTATTCAAAAAAAATATATATATATATATATAATTCATAAATAAGAAAAATATCGGACTAGTACAAATTTTAACATAAGGCCACGACGGGTTTTTCTATTCTGAAAAAGAATAAAAAATAGGCTTGGTAAATTGCTCAACAAATCTGTATATCCTACTAGACAATAGTTCACGAACTGATCGCATATGAATTTCTAACCTTGTTATTGATGTAACTCAAAATTGAAAAGACTCTTTCAACTCTTGTTGTGTAACCCACAAAATCAAGTCAAATTAAGGGTAGCCCGTCATTAGTTTAATTGTTAGGTTTTGCAAATAGTCGGGGATAAGGAGTAAATTTTTACTATTATGTAGTGTTTAAAATAGAACAACAAATGAGTTGCAACTTAATGAAGGACAATGTTGAAAAAATATAGTATATTCTAAGTTTGAATAACACAGACTATCGCTTTTTTTTTTTTAAGTATACGCAAACTACTACTGAGGATAGTATTATCATTGTATGCGTGTCCCGAATCACTAATTATAATTTTTTTTATCCATATAAAACTATTATCGGGGGTTGAATAATTGTATTCCCAAATTTTAGGGGTGTCCCGGGACACCCCGGGACACCCCTAAACCCTCATGTATCTGCCCCTGGCTCGGGCGGCCGCGTACATTTTCACTAAACTTAGCTTTGCTGTCGTCAAGAAGGTGGAAGCCCACATTTTATCTAAGCTGCCCACTAATTTATCTAGACCTTTTATTTTTATTCCACTAGAACTATAATTATAAATGCAAAAAACAAAAACCCATAATCTTCCTAATACCCAAATCTCCTACTCTCTCTGTCGTCCAAACCTTTCCCTCCCTCTGGCTTAGGATAGGGTGAGTAACCCTTTGTTACTCACCCGTGAGTAACCACTTTAGGACCGTAGATCTGGGCCGGGCTGATCGTGTGGCTGTGGTTGATGCGGTGATGGTCAGGGGCATTTTTGTCCGGTTTTTGAATTTTATTTCTTGTCTTTTTCTACTTTTTTAGCATTTATATTATTACTTTTACGGAGGAAAGAGAAACCAAATTTTTCTCTTCCTCCCTCTTTTCTCTTTCCCTTCCTCTCTTCCTTCTCTCTTCCAAACTCCTTTTCCCATATCTAGATATGTTCCTTTCTTTGTTCTTTATTTTTTCCTTCAACAATTGACAAAGAAAAATTGCAACATCATGCCTCAAAATCTGGTGACGCTCCAAATCCTTCTTTGCAGCTGCTTCTTCCTTATGTTCTTTCTTTTCTCGGCCTCAAAATAGATGACGTTTCATATTGACCAAGAGGGGACGGATCTATGTGAGTTAAGTTTGCATGTTTTATATTTTAGTATTTGTTTGTGAATTTTCAATTCCGATCTTCCTCCTCTTTTTTTGTTGCATTTGGTGTTCTTGATTGCGGAGGAGAAATGAGAGGAACAGAAGACGAGTTTTTTTGACTCTCCCTCCTTCTGTTTTTCTTCCTTTTATGTAATATATATTGATATTACCACACTATATCATATGGTAATGTGTGATAACTAAATGTATCTTTATGGTCACGAGTTTTATCATGGTGGTAGTGGGTGGTAATCGACTCCAGTTCTGAGAAAAAAGAGTTAGAAGACAATGAAGTTGGAGAAGAAAGTGAAGAGAGTCGTAATTGTATATATATACCGAGATTACTACACTATACCATATGGTAATGTGTATATACCACACTATACCATATGGTAATGTGTCTATACCATATGGTAATGTGTATATACCATATGGTAAAGTGTCTATACCATATGGTAAAGTGTGGTAACGAAATGTATTTTTATGGATATCGTGTTTTACTATGGTCGTAAAGGGTTGTAATTAGATTTATATTATTTTTGTATGGTTTTACCTTCTCATACCATGTGGTATTGTATGGTAATTACAATTAATTTGTGTTCATTCGATTAACCATGTTCTACTATGGTGGTATTGTAATGGTAGTTAGATTTACCATATGTTGATATTACCACACTATACCATATGGTATTGGGTGGTAACGAAATATATATTGATATTACCACACTATACCATATGGTATTGGGTGGTAACGAAATATATATTGATATTACCACACTATACCATATAGTATTGGGTGATAACGTAATATATATTGATGTGACAAATTTTTTTCATACAATATGGTATGGTCAATACCAGTCATTACCATATGGTATAGACTGGTAATAACTGACAAATTTTTTTATGTCTGAAAAATATCAAAGTGGATATCATTTTGAAGAACACAATTAATCTGATCTAACTGTGCAAAAAACATTAAATTCCGACTTAAAACGAGTGAGAAATCGTCCGTTAAAGATTAAGAGAAGGAAAATTAAAGGTTGTTTGAGGAGAGAGAATGCGCTGATGTGATCTGGTCAGCGCGTCAGAGACATCATTAAATAGGGGGTGCAATTTTACCTTAGTGCCCCTCCGTGTTTAATTTAAATAAAAAGAAAAAGCTGACACGTGGGGGCCAGGGGAAGGGATTACTGATGGAATGGTTACTGAGGTGATCCGTCCCCCTCCCTCTCACAGCTGAATATTTCTCCTATCTTCCCAACTCTTCCGAGGTAGGCCATTCACTGATTGATCCACCAATCTGAATCCCTAATCTCCTTTCTGAATTGCCCCAAACCCCTTTATTTCTTGCACCATGGTACAGTAGCTTTTAAATACATCATATATTCGAAACTTAAAACCCTTATTTTCAAACTAAAAAAGACGGTTAACATATCTGCCTAGCACTCCGCTCATATAAGCAATAATATACAAGACAAGATATACCATGATGCGAAAAAGACCTAGGGAGAAAATTGACAATCGTGCAATCAGTACGTTTTCTCCGCCAACAATACGACGTAAGAGAGTTCACACTTGAAAGATGGGTGTTTCCACCACGTACCGGAAGTTACTTGGTTTTATTTGAACTCTCCAATCTCAAAGATCCTGGCAGTACCATCGTCTGAGGCAGTAGCCAGAAAATCATGGTTAGAGCTCACTGCCAAGGACTGTACGCAGCTGCTATGCCCCTTGAATGTTTTCACCTTGTCTCCAGATCGGCCGTCCCATATAACTACATCCCCATCTCCACATCCGGCAGCCACGTACCTCGTCATGCCTATCCATGTTAAGCAGGTCACTTCACTCTGCATTATCAGCACGTAACATCCTTACAATTAGACCGGGTTTGCCAAAGCAGATCACACACAGATCACCAAACGTAAACAAACTGTAAGAGATAAGAGGAAGATAAGCAGACCTCATGATTGCATATGTTACGAGCATCCGAACGTTCCAAATCCCAGATAACAAGTTGCTGATCTCTGCCTCCAGTTGCCGCCCAAGGGAAACTGGTCCAATGGATTCAGGAGGATGTTGGATTAAAAAAGAAGAGAACGAAAATGAAGATTCCTTTATTTTACATATATTTATCACAACCAAAATGTTTTATAAGGTCAACTAGCTTGTACATACAAAGGGTGAAGCTTCTTGTCATTGACATACCTTGATGAACGTGACAGAGCAATGCATGAAACTGAATCTGTGTGTCTAGACAAAGTACTGACCACCTGTCAATTAAGAAAATACTGAAAATGGTGAACCATTGTGTGCTAACAGGTGGAATGAAAATTTCATTAGAGGTATGAAAAAATTGCCCTACCTTCCCAGTCACTATGTTCACAATTTTCACAGAACCATCCTCAGAGCCAGTAAGAACAAGAGTGGAATCAGAGCTAATAGCCAAGCAATTTAATCTTGCAGTATGATATGGATGGCCTAGCAGGAGAGAATTTTTGCTAGTCAGGTCAAAGAAGTGTCTAACTGAAAAAAGCAAGATAGAGTGAAATACTGGAGTCCAGAGAAAAGAGGCCACAGATAGAGCCCAAGAAGAAGTCTCCTAAGCATCCAAAACAGTGACATAAGCGTCAGTTACTACAATAGCAGTCGAAATATTTTCTTGTCATTGGATATTACTTTCAAAAGCAATAAGTTTTAGTGTGCCTGTGAGGACATCAGAGATCAAAAAGTAAGCAAACAATAAATCTCAATCTGAACATTTGCATATGTTACCTTTTATGACATATACACTCTCCCCTGTTCTTGGATTCCATATTCGCAAACTCATATCATCCGAACCAGTGCAGACGGTTTTGCCTTCATCAATCAAAGAAAAGGAAGCATAATTCAGAGAGGCAACTCCTATACCAAGCAAGGAATTTTTTATTTATTCAATAATTAAATATAAAAAAAAAAGCAGCATGAAGAATATCCGTATACCATCAGGTGTGAAATCTCCACAGGTAACTGGTTTACTGTGGCCAGGAAATACTTGGAGGACAGCACCTCTATCCGCGTTCCACATCCAAGCAGTGCCATCATTTGAGCCCGCCAAGACTAGATGACCTCTAGGATGCCACCTGACCCACTGTGAAACTAAGTAACACAATTAGTCTCACTACAAATAATAATTAATAATAGCAAGTATGCTATCAGATATACAGAGTTAACACACCTCAAACCCGTCTGCATGTTCCTCCGTTTGCTCACTCACAGCAGGCCCTTCAAGCGTACATTTATGATTTCCAGATGTATCCCAGACATTAACTACAGAATCAAGGCCCCCGGATGCAAGAAACTGTCCATCGCTACTAAATGCCAAGCTAGTAACGGTATCCTTATGACCTTCAACAAATAATAATGAAAAAAGGTTCAATGACGATAGTGTAATGGATAGACTATGATCTGATAAATCCACAGATCATGAACCAAGATAAAGTATCAGTCAAAGGGGACATGGAGGTTAAGCAATTCATGCACTATGTATATACCTCCCATTTCAGCAGCCCAATCTCCTTGTCCTATCTTCCAAAGAAATCCTCTATCATCACCACCCCCAGTTGCTACCAGCAAAGGATCTGTTGGGCTGCAGGCAACTGCATAAAGTTCAGCTGCACAAACAGAGAAGCATGAAATAAGAACTCAGTGATCAACTACAACCACTTATTGCATGGCATAATCCATAAACTCATCCAAAGAGAGTTTGCATGACAGAACGCATGACAGAAAAAACTTGAAATTAGCTAGATTTTTCAACAATCCCCCTTACACGTGTGGCCTGTGAACGTGTGCATAGAATCATCCAGATCCTCTGATAGCAACAACAATACAAGAATTGTAGTTAGAACCAAACCGACCAACTTGTAGATTAAATTTAGATTGTAGTAAGAAAAATTATATCATAGCAACTGAAGCCCAGTAAGTAAAATTACCGTCAAAATCAGCCTGTTCATCGTCTTCATCATTGACATCAGGAAGATCTGCAAGCAAGTGATTCATAAACAAGAAAGCAGAGTAAAATACTGGTAACAGCAACACACATTAGGTCAACAAAGCAGTACCTTCATCATCAAGGGTAATCTCATGGATTGTGTCAGCATCATGGATGTAGATCTCTCCATCATCACTCATGTCACCATCCATCATCTTCCTGGATGAGTAAAACATGTAAGCAACGCCAAACTTCTAGGTGGAATACACTTCACCACAAGCCAGAAGATTATTGAACTGAACTTAGAAACAAAAATATAATGCAAACAAGGAACTTTTTCTATAACTCCTACTTCCAAGTGAATTCCCATTTTCCCGACATTTTTCAGTTTGAAGCAGAAGCACCACCATCACCGATGAACATAATGAGAAGTTGCCATTAAATCATCCAGATTTTGTCTACCCAGCATATCCAAAGAGCATAACATTGCGAGATTTTGCTGTTCCGTGAACTCACTAGCAACAAATCTTAAGCACAAAAGGTCCCAAAACTTAAAGGTGCAATCTGCAGGAAGCATGGATTATAGCCAATGAAAGAATTGCTCTTGCTGAACAACTTTAGAGTAGGCTTAACGAGAAAGATGACAAAGCAGAAACTTTTGATGAGTCTCTGTGGCAAGCTACTGCCGAGTTGGGGGGAGGAGAAAGAAGTAGAGGAACATGGAAGTAGATTGGAAGGCGTTATTGAGAAAGATCAATTAGAAGAAACGGCGGCGGCGGCGAACTTACGAGCTTTTGGGATGGAGATTGAGATTGAGAGATGATAACTTACGAGCTTGCGGCGGCGAACTTTGAAGATAGGGGATGAATTGCAGTACCCGCTGATGGTTGCGCGGAGGAGAAGGGAGGTATGGAGGGCTTAGGGCCAGGGGAGAACTGAAGTGAATGGAAGCGAGAAGCCGAGAACCGTAGGATGCCGCCATAAATCTCACGTTTAGGTTTCTGTTGGACGTGCAAACAACCCATGGAGAGCCCAGATAGAGGTTCAAGACGGCCCAGATTGAGAGAGGGCGAGGAGTCCAAACTGCTCAGTTATGTGAGCCCAGCCCAAGGCAGCTGAATTTTGGACGGATAGCATAACAATCTAAAATAGTAAAATTTGGAAGAGATGCTAACATTTATGAATGTTAGTACTTTGTACTGTAGATTAACTCAAAGTCAATTAAAGATATTTATCTAAGGGGTTAATTGCAAGATTGGTCACTGAGATTCCTAAAAACGTTCATGTTTAGTCACTGGAAATATTTAATTCCAATCATGGTCACTAGATTTTATAAAACAATTCAAGTTTGGTCACTCTCCGTTAGTTTCCGTCCATCTCCGTTAACACCGTCAGTTAACTGCTGACATGCCTAACATAAATGCTGATTCATCCTATTTTAACCCGCCACATCATATAATCCGACCTGCCACTTCAAAACTCGCCACGTCAGTTTTTCCAAACCAAACCCAACCCTTCCCAATCCGTGATCTGACCCTAAACCCTACCACCGGCTCCCCGTCTACTCTCCATTTCCATTTTCCAACCAATGTCCCCTTCAATCTTCCGGCCACTCACCTGTTCTCTCTTTCTTCGTGGATTGATGTTGGTGGATCCGATTGACGGCGTGCGGCTGTGATGATGATTAAGAGTGGCGGAAAGAGGGAGGCCAATTCCTCGATGGCATTCACAACACTGGTGCCTTGTCCTTCTATTCCTCATCCTCAATCCTCACCACTAGCAGAGACTTATCGGCAAAGAGTGGAGATGACGAGGATTCCTCTCCCAATCGAATATGCAGCAGCAGAGCAAGATTTTTCCCCTTTTCTGGCTTTAAAGGGATACGACAGAGGCACATATCTGATGGGGACAGAGCCCAGAGTCATCTTCCCTCTGGAGTTCAAGAGCCAACTCCTCGAGCTGGCTCCGCGTTGGAGTTCGCCGTCGAATGAATTCGGCGATGAAGGCGGCTCTTGGGTTCTTCCTTTCTTCTAGCGTTCGTGAGAGCTAGAGGCGGCGTTGCGGTACTTCTCCAAGGTGTGATCCAAGCAGCTCTCTTTTCCTTCAAATTTTCCCACCGCCGCCGACGTCGTTGTTGCTCAAACATCATCGTCGATGAAATGCCCCTTCCCCCGGCGAATCGAAGGCGTTGGCTCTCTCAATCCAGATCTACGGCCGTCGTTGTTTCCTTCTTCGCCATCTTGAAAGTCCCCAACCAGACCTGTGATGCGCTCGATGGTCTACTTCGTCTCGATCCCGCCGAACGAGGAAGTTGAACAGACATCAGCATGTCGGTGGTGGCGGAGAGGGAGGAGGAGAAGAAGAGGTCGTCTTCTTGCAGCAGTCAACATTAAAGAAGAAGAAACAAGAGTGCTTCTCGTTTCCTTCGAAGAAATTCATGGAAGAAGAAGAAGAAATATGGCAGTGTTTGGTAGATCTGGAGAGGACGGTTAGGGTCAGATCACGGGTTGGGAAGGGTTGGGTTTGGTTTGGAAAACTGACGTGGCGGGTCGGATTTTATGATGTGGCGGGTTAAAATGGGATGAATCAGCATTTTTGTTAGGCACGTCAGCAATTAACTGACGGTGTTAACGGAGATGGACGGAAATTAACGGAGAGTGACCAAACTTGAATTGTTTTATAAAATCTAGTGACCATGATTGGACTTAAAAATTTTCAGTGACTAAACATGAGCGTTTTTAATAATCTCAATGACCAATCTTGTAATTAACCCTTTATCTAAGATAACTAATTCTCTTTCTTTCATTTTATCTTGGATTTCATATGCTTTTGCATAGAAAATCATTAATTGGAATCTATAATATGAAATGCAATTAGATATATTTTTGAGAAAAATTTATCTGAATGCGCTAGGTAGTTATTTACATGCATTCAAGAAATTTTTATGCATTTGCATGGAATGCATTTGATATTTTGTGGTGGACATTCAAGTAATACTGGTATACATTAACTAGTTATTCGTATGCATCGATAAATTGTAGTTTGATGTCCATCGTGTTGTTTATGCTATGTATTCGCTAGTTGATAAATTGTAACTGATATGCTTTTCAAAGTTTATGTTATGCTTAAAAAATTTGTATCGATTTTAGCAATTTTCGGTATGCATTCAAATCTTCTAGTATTTGTTATTGGATTTTTTGTATACATCCATATCAGTATGACAAATGCATATTACTATTGCTTGATTACAATAGTAACTATAAATACAAAATGCATCTTATATTGTAGATCATAATTAAACTGATTTTCCTTGAAAATTTTTTGAAACTCAAGCCAAAACAAATATGATAGAATATATGTTAAAAATAATTGAGAATTATTTATAAAGGGAGGAGATATTATCATAATAATTCGGATGTTATCTCATTAGATTAATCTAATAGTAGAGATTTATTAATTTCTATTCCGCAATTATTTTTTAACTGATCACATATTTTTCCGGTTAACTTGGATTTTAATTATGGTGTACAAAATAAGATCCACTTTAGTATATTTTGAGAAAAAAAGTATGTTGGTGAGAAATTTTGGCACCTAATATTTGGTCGGCTGAGCTAGACTTTAGGGAATGTTTTGAATAAAGAGATTCATTGGAAACAACCTCCCCCAACCCGATTCTCATAAATTAATTATTGATGGTTTGCGGCAAGCTGGAGCATATGTTGGGCGAGTAACACCAACAAACAATCAGTCTAAGATAGGGTGAATAACTCTTGGTTATGCGCACTTGCTTAATCAGATATAGAGCAAGGAGAACACTTCGACATCGACAAAGACAACAAGAGCCAAAAAAAAAACAATGGTCCAAGGAGAAGAAAAAGTCATCCACCAAACGATATTCGACTAAGCTCATTGTTCCTTAAATGGAACTCACTTCAATATTTGACGATAAAAAAGCTAGCCAAAAAAATTGAAATGAAAACGGTCATACTCTAGATGACCCAACTACGAGTGCACTTCAATAGGTTGCTCAATGAAGATCCCAACACGACCATGATGATGATACAATTCACCTTGAATTATTACTGTTCTCTCTCGATAATGATGCACAAGAGTGGCTAGACTAATAACCACACAACTCAATCATAATGTAGAATTATATTGATAAGAATTTCTTGGCAAAATACTTTCCACCAAGCAAAACGATGAAGCTATGAAACGACATCGCCTCCTACACCCAATAAGATTTATGAATCTCTCTACGAAACATGGGAGAGGTTCAAAAACACCCTCGGAAAATGCCCTTACTAGCTACATATGCAAACTTCTACAATGGGCTCAATTTGAAGACGAAACAATCCATCGACGCAGTAGGTGATGGCACCGAGAGTGCTTTGGGCTAGTGGTGGCTGGACCCATTGGTAAACTGCCGCCAATTCCTTCTCTGTTTGTGCTAAGTTTCCTCCAGTGGGCTCCTCTTGGGTTCTAGTTAAGACTTCCAGAAGACTTCCTCTCGTTTAGGCTTCATATAATAGGTGAAAACTCCCTTGATCTTCTCAAACATGCTCCATTGATCCTCAATCATCATCCAAAGTTCAATCAAAAGTGTTATAGGTTGTTTTTTACCTTGAAAATCACATAAGCATTCCAAAAAGTCATAAAAAGATACAAAAACACAATTTAGGTCTAATAATAGCATATTGATCAAATAATTATGATTTCCACATGAATTCAAGTAAAAACTTCTAAAGATGCATTGATAGAAGGGAAAATGTATCAAATATGGGAGTAATAAACACTATAAATGGAGTGTTATCATAGAGTAATGAATGAAAACGTTAAAAAACAATTTTGTGACAATGATTTGTAATCATTTGTTATAATAAAGAGTTAAATTCATATCACCCATTCCCATTAAAAATATTTAAAAATTCAAACTATATCTCGAATTTCATATGCTTTTGCATAGAAAATCATTAATTGGAATCTATAATATGAAATGCACTTAGATATATTTTTTAGAAAAATTTATCTGAATGCACTAGGTAGTTAGTTACATGCATTCAAGAAATTTTTGTGCATTTGCATGGAATGCATTTGATATTTTGTGGTGGACATTCAAGTAATACTGGTATACATTCACTAGTTATTCGTATGCATCGATAAATTGTAGTTTGATGTCCATCGTGTTGTTTATGCTATGTATTCGCTAGTTGATAAATTGTAACTGATATGCTTTTCAAAGTTTATGTTATGCTTAAAAAATTTGTATCGATTTTAGCAATTTTCGGTATGCATTCAATCTTCTCGTATTTATTATTGGATTTTTGGTATACATTCATATCAGTATCAGACAAATGCATATTATTATTGTTTGATTACAATAGTAACTATAAATACAAAATGCATCATCTTATATTGTAGATCATAATTAAACTGATTTTCCATGAAATGTTTTTGAAACTCAAGCCAAAACAAATATGATAGAATATATGTTAAAAATAATTGAGAATTATTTAGAAGGGAGGATATATTTTCATAATAATTCGGATGTTATCTCACTAAATTAATCTAATAGTAGAGATTTATCAATTTCTACTCCCCGATTATTTTTAACTGATCACATATTTTTCCGGTTAACTTGAATTTTAAATAATTTTCTATGAAATATTATATTAATTATGGTGTACAAAATAAGATCCACTTTAGTATATTTTGAGCAGAAAAAGTATGTTGGTGAGAATTTTGGCACCTAATATTTGGTCGGCCGAGCTAGACTTTAGGGAATGTTTTAATAAAGAGATTCATTGGAAACAACCTCCACCAACCCGATTCTCATAAATTAATTGTTGATGGTTTGCGGCAAGCTAGAGCATATGTTGGGCGAGTAACACCAACAAACAATCAGTCTAAGATAGGGTGAATAACTCTTGGTTATGCGCACTTGCTTAATCAGATATAGAGCAAGGAGAACACTTCGACATCGACAAAGACAACAAGAGCCAAAAAAACAATGGCCCAAGGAGAAGAAAAAGTCATCCACCAAACGATATTCGACTAAGCTCATTGATCCTTAAATGGAACTCACTTCAACATTCGACGATAAAAAGCTAGCCAAAAAAATTTAAATGAAAATGGTCATATTCTAGATGACCCAACTACGAGTGCACTTCAATAGGTTGCTCAATGAAGACCCCAACACTCTCCTCAAGAAATTCTTATAGCTGAGTAACACCATCGACCATGATGATGATACTATTCACCTTGAATTATTACTGTTCTCTCTCGATAATGATGCACAACAGTGGCTAGTCTAATAACCACACAACTCAATCATAATGTAGAATTATATTGATAAGAATTTCTTGGCAAAATACTTTCCACCAAGCAAAACGATGAAGCTATTAAATGACATCGCCTCCTACACCCAATAAGATTTATGAATCTCTCTGCGAAACATGGGGGAGTTCAAAAATACCCTCGGAAAATGCCCTTACTAGCTACAGATGCAAACTTCTACAATGGGCTCAATTTGAAGACAAAACAATCCATCGACGCAGTAGGTGATGGCACTGAGAGTGCTTTGGGCTAGTGGTGGCTGGACCCATTGGTAAACTGTCGCCAATTCCTTCTCCGTTTGTGCTAAGTTTCCTCCAGTGGGCTCCTCTTGGGTTCTAGTTAAGATTTCCAGAAGACTTCCTCTCGTTTAGGCTTCATATAATAGGTGAAAACTCCCTTGATCTTCTCAAACACGCTCCATTGATCCTCAATAATCATCCAAAGTTCAATCAAAAGTGTTATAGGTTGTGTTTTACCTTGAAAAGCATATAAGCATTCCAAAAGGTCATAAAAAGATACAAAAACACAATTTAGGTCTAATAATAGCATATTGATCAAATAATTATGATTTCCACATGAATTCAAGTAAAAACTTCTAAAGATGCATTGATAGAAGGGAAAATGTATCAAATATGGGAGTAATAAACACTATAAATGGAGCGTTATCATAGAGTAATGAATGAAAACGTTAAAGAACAATTTTGTGACAATGATTTGTAATCATTTGTTATAATAAAGAGTTAAATTCATATCACCCATTCCCATTAAAAATATTAAAAAATTCAAAATATATGTCACTCATTCCCATGGATACATTGAAATCCATCAAAGTACAATGTATGGACGGTTTATACAGACAATACTTTGTTTATAAACATATGTCACCATTAGATGCATTTCTTTGTTAGAGTATTTTTTTTTATTTTCTCATGTTTTCAATACGTTCTAAGCATACTCGAAGTATTTTGAGTATTTGTCTTGATAGTTCAAGGTCAAATATCAAACAAAGCACACATCATTACTGTAAATGACATATACAAATTATATAACCATCAAACTTTGCAGGACAATAGGCGGAGAATTGTGCTAGTTGGTAAATGGTATGGAATAGCTTGGAATCAGGCCTTGACATTAGAAACAACAATTTTACAACCGTTCATAATAATTTTTACCTTTGGTAGTCGGACAATACTTCGGCCATTTTGGACCAAGTTAGAGAGGACATCCATTCCCATACATCTCATTTACATTACCTAGTCTCCAACCTACGTGCATAAAACCCATGTATTTCATCCCATTGATACCCTATAGCGGGTAAGTTGAACAAAAGGGAGAGAGAGAAATCTTGCTTGTCTTCCTTTCATACATGTATTATAAGTGGGTATGTAATGAGATTGCAGGAATAATTTCTTTCAACAATGGTGGCTTCTATATAATAAGCAGAAGTTATAAGAAAAAGTAATCTTTTCAGTGGTTTAATAGTTTATATGTGATCATCATTAACAATGTAATTATTTTTCATATTAAGTGGTCCATTTATGGCTTCATAAAGGAAAAGGAAAAGTCGAGAATCATCAAGACAAAAAGGCTTAGATGGGAATTCATTAAGGGCACTCTGATTGAGATCGACCTCCCAAGCACATTGATCAGCATGATTATGCTCTGTGTTGAAAGGAACATAATGAGGATTAATTGAACGGAAAGCTTACAAACATGATAACACCTTCTCGAGGTACCAGACAGGTAGACCCACATCACTGTATCTCTTCATGCTATGCATGGAGAGGCTAGTTTATTGTATTGAGCTAGCTGTTGCTAAAAAAGAATGAAAATCATTGTCGCTTACTCCCAATGGCCCTAAATTATCTCACCTTTTTTTCGCAGATGATCTAATTTTGTTTGTAGAAGCAGGAAGCAAGCATATTGATGTCATTCGTAAATGTTTGGATGAATTCTGTGCTAGTTCAGGACAGAGAGTTAACTTGCACAAGTCTGTGATGTTTGTTTCTCCCAACATTAGGCCAGAGAAATCTCAACGGCTCAACAACAAAGCCAACATTCCTTGCACGGCTGATCTGGGGAAATATCTAGGCCTCAACGCTATTCGTGATTGGGTCACCAAGGGCACATACAAGGAACTGGGACTACGTATCCTTAACAAGCTTGCTTTCTGGAAAACAAGACACCTCTCCCTCGTTGTCGGGATGACAATGGTGAGATCAATTGCTTCTTCGATGGTTGTGTACCTTATGTTTCGGAATTGCTTCCAACTTCTGTGTGCAGGTCGCTTGACAAAATCAACATGCATTTCATAGGGGGGGGGGGGGGGAGAGGAAGGGAAAGCCAAGTTTCATCTCGTTGCTTGTGAATAATTGACTCTACCTCGTAATCAAGGGATTGTCGGCAATTGGCCTACCAAATTAGCAAACCAGGCAATGCTTGCTAAAGTGTGCTGAAAGCTTATAACTAAGGAAGACTCATTGTGGAGCAAACTCTGTTGGACGAAGATGGACACAACAGAGATGGACTTGCTATTCTTAAAAAAAAAAATCAAGGGAAGTTCACTAGCTTGGAGAAGCTTTGCTTCTACTATCAATGTCATCAAAAAGAGTTTTTCTTTTAACATTACGAATGGGAGAAGCACTTTTTCTAGCTTGCACCATGGATCGAGCAGGTACCACTCATTGAGCTTGCAACTGCTGAGGTTCCGGAAGAGCCTAAACATAAGAAGGTTGCTAATATGTGGGATGGAGCCGGGTACGGATGGAGAGTCCACGAGTTTCAAGACCTTCTGCCGCAGCATTTGGTGGATAGAATCAGAGTTACCATTGTCGATCCACTAGCGATGGAAGGAGATCAAATTTTTTGTAGCTTGACGGCAAATGGACACTTCACAGTCAGCTCTGCTTTCAAAGCAAGCCAAGGACACCAATCTACGGATGATCACTCACTCCGGAAGCGCATTTGGAAGCTTCAAGTACCTGAGAGAGTGCGTGTTTTCTTCTAGATGGCAGCTCAAGGAAAATTGACTACCAACAACATTCGGGAGATCAGACATTTGACACTATGCCCGACAGTGCAGACTTCACCGTCACTGTTCACGGCCATGATATTAGCAAGCAAACGGTGATCTCGGCTGAAAACACACAATTTTTAGCTATTTTCACGGTCACAAGATGATTTTTACGGTGTTAGCCTGTGAAGTTTGCATAGCTTGAGAGATGCACTATAACTGCTGGAATTTGCACTTCACGGTCTGGGGGTTTGACTCCCTTAGGGCGTGATAATTGCCTCCAGCCCATGAACCTTACACATGCTCTACTTTTTGGCTCGTTTTGACCTCCGAATGACCCCAAACTCGTCCCCAACCTTCCCACATGTACTAGGACCTGAAATGTGACAAAAAAAAGCACAATCTAGCATTTTGACACTAATGTTGTCAACACAACCGTAACTATAACGGTTCTAAGGTAGCGAAATTCCTTGTCTGGTAAGTTCTGACCCGCACGACAGGCGTAACGATCTGGACACTGTCTCGATGAGAGGCTCGGTGAAATAGACATGTTTGTGAAGATGCGGACTAACTGCACCTGGACAGAAAGACCCTATGAAGCTTATATGGTAAAGATGGCTTGGAGAGGGTGTTGTCACCATACCTCCCATCACTAAGCACCTCTTAATGATGTAGATTCGTGTGTAACGCGTACACTGCTACCATATTGTGATTTTCCAATTTTCTTTTTAGTCTGCTATTGTACTCTCTTCTGCCAGACTGCCACCCGAGGCCTACAGTTTATTGTCAAGGATAGAACGCCACTTCATGAACGAGTTAAGGCAGAAACCCAAACATCAGCCGAAAACTTCTGAGCACGGGAGAGACCGAATATTTATAATCCGAGTCTGTCTTTCTTAACCCTTCCCATTAATATGGATGATTATGTTCAGAGTTTTGACATGAATGTCCAGTGCCAAAGATTGTAAAACTGAAAAACAAGGGACAAAGGAAGAAAGGTAACAGCTTGTACATGAAACCATTGGTGAAGGTGGAAAGCAAAGTGAAGGGATTCTAAGAGAGTTGGCCTTCTTTTCATCTGTCTTTGTTCAAGTTCTCCCATTGCAGGCAGCAGCTATAGAACCACCATTGCTGTGAACCTGCTGCTGCTTCTTTTGCTGCTGCAGATGACTGTTTAAGCCCCATATTCGAATCGTACCATCATCACTGGCTGATGCCAACATGTGTGGATTCACAGGATTCCAGCTGACGCAGTTTACGGATCCCGAATGCCCTGGCAATGTCCCTATCAGCTCCCCTGATCCTCTATGCCATATATATACCTGGAAAATCATCAACATGAACATAAATAAAAATCTCGGCGATTATTATGCTGATAAGGACGACTCTGACAATGATGCTTCACAAAATGCAGAAAACTTCCAGGCTCTAATTGCACCCCCTTCTAATCTACAACAGCAGGCTTTGCAGACAAAGAGAGCCTGCATTCCTCACCAAAATACTTCTCTTGAAAGAAAGTAAAAGATTCCACATTCTCAACATCCTTGCCAGACATAAACACTTCTGTTTTACACAAGTTAATCGGAAGTTAAAAGAACCTCACGTTCATAACATCGATAAGCATGGAGCATGATGACCGGTAAAGAAAAAGGAAGTTGCTCTAAACTAATGACAAGCTACTTATGTTTAAAATAAACAAGTGTATGCGTAAAGCAAGCGTGAAATTTCATACCTGTGAGTCTTCACTGCCACTGGCAATAAAAGCTTGTTCAGATCCTCCAAAACAGGATTTGATGACAAATCGGGTACGCTTGTGACCTTTGTACTTGGCAACAAGATTGATATCACCATCTATGTTCCACAGATGGATTTCCTGACCCACAAGGTTAACCAACAAGTACCTATTATCCCTTGACAACGAGAATGAAGTTATGGTTTGGTCCTCCTCAATCACTCTCTCAGACTTTGCTTCCCTATCAAGTATGAGAATTGCAGTTTCCTTGGATATGGACATAATCTCCTTTCCGTCACTAGTGATTTCCAAATCTGAAATTCTGAGAGTTCGTTGACCTTTCCAACACTCTATCTCCTTCCCATCCAATCCCCACACGCTAATGCTCCTATCATTAACACCAGAAAATATCCATTTCCCATCTGGGGACCATCCACAGGAAACTAGGCCAACCCCAGCTTTCTCATAAACATGGAGGCATTCACCAGATGCAACATCCCAGCATCTAACAGACTCCTCAACACCACAGGTGAGGAGTTTATGATCATCAGAACTCCATGAAACAGAGGATACGGGTTTATGATGGCCAGAAAGTTTATGCTTTAAAGAAACTTCACCATTTGCACTGACCTGGTAAAAAATAAGGCAAAATAACATTAGTACTAAACAAGGAAGACAGAAACATCACAAGAACATGGATTGAAAAGCATAAAACTATTGTGCATGGCTCCTGCAGGCTACATAGTGGGTAGAGTTCATAAACAGATACAGACATTAAACATCAGCAAATGACTAACATATTATGGTCCTAATTTAGCTTAAGGAGATTCAGAAACAACTGCTTCCAAAGATATGTTTTGCCTTGTGACTGATGAATTTCCTTGACCATGATCTACCACAAAATATTGTGACAATGTGAACATTGTCCAAGCAGATAACTTTCCATCCTAATACAACACGGGTAGCCCCGTGAGATCTTTTATTGCTTAATCAGCTCATTCCATAGAGGAAATTAATAAATAACGAGAGAAAAGCTTACTGTCTAAAGCAGAACAACTTCTCAATATCCATTTGAAGAAGCGATGACTCTACTGGACTTCATTAGACACATGAAGTTCAATATCAACATGGACACTTCTTTATGAAACGAAGTCATCACCAAAACATCAACGGGCAAAGCTCCACAAAAATGCACCAAACATTTTCCAACACCAAAATAAATAATTTGTACCTCCCATATGATTGCTGACCGATCATTAGAGGAGGAAGCCAAATACTTCCCATTATGAGAAAATTTCAAGAACCAGACTTCATCAGAGTGAGCTTCTAATATCTGCCCAGAAGGAAATAAGGGTAACTGCTCAATGAAATTGTGCAAGCAGATGTACATAATTAGTATTTGAATGGTCTAACAAACAGACAAGTAAAGTATCAATCCTATTCTGATCCATATACAAATTTTTGGTTGAAATTACACAACCATAGTCTACTGCAGAGAGTGAACTAGCTTAACATACATATTATATACAGCAATAGGAAAACATTAAACAGATGGATCTGGATGTTTTACATGAAAAACGACAGCCTTACGTAGAGGGTATTGTCCCTGCATATACGACCACACAACTTGACTGTAAAATGTTTGTGGCTGTACTTTCTTAACCACTCATGCCCTTCTTCACTGTGGTTATATCTTTTTAACTTTAGTCTTCAGTAGAACAAAAGATACATAAAAAAATATGCAGGAGCAATTGCCTAAACAAATTCTTTGCAAAACTGAAACTACTGATTGTAATTAACATTCTAAGAATCTCTAGTCTTAATAATGGATGCATGTCTCATGCTCGAAACTGGTGTCAAAAGAAGGTTCCTTGTTAAGGGACCGGCTGTCGGAATCAAATCAAACTTGTGTAAGTTATTTATATTTGAAATTCGTTTTGGGACTAACATAAGAGTTCTTTTCCTCTTACTCTATCCCAAATCTCAGGGAAGCTTTCTCAGCCCAGGCATGCAATATAAAGAAAAACCCAACAAGCTCACCGAATGTTATCAGTTAAATGATTCCAATAATGGAATACTATGACCAACTTTAGACAGCCGACAACCCAAAGATTTATTTGCAGTTGACACCACAACTACATTCATAAACAGACCTGCTTTACTTTCACCTCGAATATATGTGCAAACTGCAACCTTATAAAAAAATTTTGTGCAAACTGCAAACATGGCCAAAATGTTCACATAGCCTAGATCAGTTTAACATCTAATTTCCAGTACCAAGGAAAGCATTTCTCATCTAGGAGGGGAACTGTAGCCTTATAAAGCTCATTGCATTTACTAATTGTATGAGATGGAAAAATAGTTCATACAGAAGTACAATTCCTGTAAATATGTTCAAACCTGTAGTGTTTTAGATGGAATCTGATCTCTTCCACATTTATGATCGGTGTACAATGACATTTCTCTGTCCAATGAGTTGTGGAAGACACATGCATCTCGCTGCAGGGTAAGAGCCTGCTCAACTAATTGCTCTAACCGCCTTTCTGGTACCATAACGGTTGGGGGGAGAAGCTCTTGCAATTCCTGCAGCAGCTTTGGCCGAGACTTGGCCCTCAGATTAGCCTGATTAGAAGACCCCGCCGATGGACCCTGTGAGAGAGACACAAGGTTGGAAGAAAGTTCCCGAAGCTGATTGCTACTAGCACACAAAGGAGCAATTTCAGTCCTCAAAGTTTTCAGAGCATCCATGACTTTTTCCGCATCCAACAGCTCAAAAAACTTCTGCTCCAATATCAGAAAAGAGGCCGACTTAATAGTACTTTCATCCTTTAACCCAATGCTACGCAATGTAACAACACTTCCACCCCAATTGCCATCAAGAATCTGGTTCATAAACATATTCACCGCAGAGGAATGTAAGGGTATGCCTGACTCTTCTTCTAGATGGGCACCGCTCTTCTTGTATCCAAGAGAATACAAGGCTTTCACTATTATCTGGACGAATTCAACTTTTTTAATGACTCCTTTTGAACCAATGACCTCCTCATCATCTTCAGATTGCAGGAGGCGGGCCATCAAGTCTCTTGAAGACCCAACACTTGGCTCTGATAGCAAAGAACCGTTTGGATTACCTTTCAACTCTCCACAGGCTAATTTCACACGTTTTGATGCTGGTTCATCGTCTTCTACACCTCCCATGAAATGTGCACCTCAGCCCATATATCATACAAGTTAAGAAGCACAAATCGATTGCTGGAGGGTATGAAGCAACTGTCTGACGAATCACAAGGGGCGACTTCCTACCAAAGCAAACAGAAAAAGATCATCAATACATAGAAGAAATAGAAACTATCCCTTAAAAACTGAAAATGGGCATAGCAACAGATCATCGATTCAAGAAAAAGATTTCCCAAGACTTCAACTCGGAGCACCGACCTGGTAAACTGATGGAGGATTCCGATCCTGATGTGGACAAACTTCCTTGAGAAATCGTCCTCCTTCCTCCGTCCCTAAAGGACGAAGCTCCAAAGCCACTGCCTTTGGCTTCCTCGTTCTCCACTGCTCTTCCCCAAGCCCTTTTGCTCCAAAATTTACTTTCCGTCCCCTAACCCAATCCAAATCTCAACCGCCGGGTCTATCTATCCTCAGTTCCTCACCAAGAATCCTTTTCTTATTTTCTTTATTCATCAAATCGCTTAGCCTCTGCTGGATTGTCCCACCGATTAACTCCGCCGAATCACTACCCAAATCCTACGACTTTCTTTCCCCTCTCTGCCTGTCTCTCTCTTCCTCTCAATTCCTTTCTAGGCCTCTGGAGTGCTTCTCTCATCTTCCATATATATTCACGCCGTTGCTGTGCTGCGTGTTGTGTTGGCAACCTCTGGACTTGAAAGCTGCCTTTCTGCCTGCCCAAACATTTTAACTAAGGGGTCGTTTGCTTCATGGATTTAAAAATGAGGGTTTTGTAATTTAAAAACACAAGGATTTATCAAGGATTTGAGGCATCATGGATTTGTAACAATCCTTTGTTTGTTGGGATGTTTTTATCATGGATTTAAAGGTGTGGGATTTACTACTTGAAGTCAAAAATTACATTACTGCCCTTTTCTATATGTTTGACATGTTTATGATATGTACACAAAACAAGGACAAAACTTCAAAATTACCTTACTATCATTTTCTATATGTTTGACATGTTTATGATATGTACACAAAACAAGGACAATACATACTAATAAGCATAATGTTGCCACATGGACAATAATAATAAACGAGAAAATTCCGTTTTAACTTTTAACGTAACATAATCAATTACCAATTCTTTGTCCTCCTTTTCAAAAGTAACATATAACAACATATATTAGAATCGGGAGAACAAAGAATTACATGTTCCATGAAAAGGTCAAAGAAAACTAGAACACAAGAAATGATATAAAAAATCTAACTCATGTTTGCACATTAATTGAATGTTTATATTATTCATTTATTGTTAATTATAATGTATAATAGTTAAATTTGAGGGCAATCTTGGAATATTAAAAGTGCATGAGGGTATACAGGTAAAATCTCATCAAGGATTTATGCCATATTCCAAATCCCACATCAACATGTGGGATTTATAAGTCCGTGGGGTCCACGGATTTGGACCCTTAAAATCCGTGGGCCCCACAGATTTGGTCTCCAAAAAAGGTGCAAGCAAACAACGGATTGTACCTAAATCTAAAATTGCGTGGCTAAAATGATACAAACATAAACGTTTTAATGACCCATTGACGAAATTCATCAAAGAAAAGGAAAATAAACGAACATTTTTTTTATATATATTATAAATTATAAATAGATGAGCATTCTAACTTTCATTCAAAATCGATGGGATTCTGAAATCCCCTAATCGTTATGCAGCAACCAGTACATAAAAGCACTAGCTTTTTACCCGGCCCGTTGGCCGAAGAGTTTCATTTTATCGTTGACATTAATTCAATTTATCTATATCTTTAAACTATTTTAGACCTTCTAAATTTATTATATTTTGTATTGATAAGTGAGTACGTGGTGTGTCTATATATTGAAAATTCTCAATACTTGGCACATTCACTTATAATGTTTGAATTCTCTAATCATAAACTATGTCACAAAGGTATACCACGTCTCATGTACAATTTTTTCTATCTTATATGAATCCACGTTGTTCAGATGAGGACATCTTAGTTAGAGTTTCTTTGTACATATACTTCATTATTGGATAAATTTCTTCATCCCAATTAAAAGTTGACACTTTGGATGTTCATGAAGTTTACTGTAAGATCTTATTTATATTTAGTCTCTTATACAATATGTATCAATTGGTAATTTCTGAAATTTAATTTGGACTAACTGAGACTCATTGTCGTTGTTTATATATTATTTTAGAATCTCAATCCAAGATACTCACATACGGATTTTGATCTTAATATGGTGCATTAGTGTATAATTTTACAACTTGTAGAACCTTCATTTTTCTAAAATTCATTTATGTTTGGTATTTGTTTAGAAATAAAAATTTCATTACTTATACTAATATATGCATTTTTCTGTATGGCCACATTTATTGTTGATATATAGCATATATATTAAAAAGAGTTTAATTATTTTTAAGTGTAAGTAATACTTGTTTTTTACCGGGATTTGTAAAATGTTAAGAAAATAAGGGGAAATATGAACAATTGTAAAAGAAAATAAGGGATGGAAGTACACATTATAAGTGAGAGAAAAGTTATTCTTACTTATCATCTTCATTTATCCAATGAAGTGATCTATTCTTGCTCCACTGAATTTTTATCAAATTATTTTATTTCGTAAATATATTATTAGTTATGCATGTGTTTTATTGCAAAAAAATGCATGTGTTTGCTAAGAAAGATCATACCGATGATCAACTTCTCTAATCTTGCCTCATTTTCATGTGAATGTTCATGAAGTCTCCTAACGATCTTATGTTAACATATGTCTATCAAGAGACCCAAATTTAGTATATTATATAACATAATAAATACATTTTATTAACCAAATCTTTCAAAAAAAAATCAAAATACAAAGTATTAGCCAAACGTTAACTCCCCGTTAGCATTTTTGTTAGTAATGTTGACTCAACAACATGATGATGAGTGGGAAGAGACACGTGACGGTCTATAATCCAATTTAATATTTTAATTAAAAAAGAGTTACAAAATTATTAATGATAACAAAAAATGGTTAATATTTTGATGTGATACAAAATATTTGGCTAATCATTTGTAATTCGAAAGGTTTGGTTAATAATTTAAAAAAAAAACTGAAAGGTTTAGATATTTAAATGTTATTTACTCTATATGTATCAATTGCTAAGTTGTCTCCTCCCACATTTTGTCACGACCGCTATTGAAGTTCTATACCAGATCTGCTTTGTCCAATCCTCACCTTTGTCCACCAATTCAAGACCCATATAGTAACATCGCCAGCTGAATTTTAAATTGTCCTCATGCACCATTTCTCACATGCGCCATCAAATTGTTGACATAGTTAGTCTCGTCTACCCGGGTACCTCCACTCTCTATTGCATTTAACACCCTTATTTGGTTTGCTTTCCTTCACTCAAAATTTCTTCTCCTAACGAAAAATCAAAAGGTAATGGCCTAACACGTGCTTAGCATATGACGTAAACTGAAAATTTACTTAATAAGATTTATTCAAATATTTTTGTTTAAACAATCGCGATACATGTCAGCCTCCAAACATTAGTATACTACTGCTACACATATATACTACAAAAGGTACAAATGAATTATTAAATAAAAACAAAAGGAAACATTAAATGAAGATAGAGATAGCTACATAAATTGAGCTTTGTGTTTGTAAAAAAAGTGTCAACCATGATAATTTGTAAATTGTTCAAGTGCTTATGTGGCAACAAACTATTGTTGAATTGCCATAGATAGACAGATAGATAGATTTTAAACCTTTATTTGATTAATGCATAGGTCAGTGGTTGATGAACACATGATGTTTAACATACAGTTTAGCAAAGATTCATCTAACTTTCACATGTATCATTTTTTAATGTATCTTGTGTCTCATCTTAAGATTTGAAGTCAAGTTCATAAACAATCATACCGAAGTCATTTTGAAAATTTTGATTTATAATCCTTGAAAATTTATTACTCCAAGTTTGAAAATTAAATTTCTTAACATATAACGTAAAACTTCAGTAGAGTTTGCTCAATTAACACGATCTAGAGAAAAAATGCAAAATATTAGTAATTTGAACCTAGGATACATTGTAAATTATTGCACCTATGATTCATATGTCTTCACTTCATTAGAATGAATAAGGTTTTTGTTTAAGAAATATATTTTATTGCTTGGTCAAGTTTCTATTCAAAGGTTTCTTGTTTTCTCTCTTTAATTTCCATCTTTATTTTGTCTCGATAAAATGTTAGGGTATGCCTACTATGACATGCATGTCACGGTGACATGCACTTTTTGGTCGACCGAATTGACTAATTTGGGCAGCACGAGAAAGCGTTGCGGTCGACCGCCACGACCACCTGGTCGACCGCATTTAGTTTAAGTTGGTATTTTTGGTCGACCAGAATAAAACCTCGGTCGGCCATTTCGTTGGCGTCAGAAACAACATGGTCGACCACCTAATATATAGGTCGACCACTTGATGGCAGTCATTAACAAAATGGTCGACCAGATAAGGAAAGAGGTCGACCAGATAGAAGATAAGTGTTTTATCAAAGTGTCCAATCATTTGACGTAAAATGAAGATCAAGTGTTGGTTTCTCGGTCGACCTAATCCGGTACGAGGTCGACCGAATACAAGAAAGTCAACCTATGCCCCGTGTCTTTTTTGCTTATGTATGTCGATTTGTGTGGTTAATTTAATCGTATAAATTATGTTTCAAACCATCATAATTAGTCATTAATAATTATAACAAGGACTCATCAATTCATAGCATAACAACTAAAAATAAAACACACATAAAAATAGCATAATTGTTCACACATAAAAATAAAACTAAAAAAACCATCATAGCATAATTGTTCACACATAAAAATAAAAATAAAAAAACAACAGAATAACAATCAACAATCGTTTTGAAAACTAAAACACACAATATAAAATCTCCTCTCTCCTACTCATCTCCCCCCCTCTCCCTCATCCACATTTTCTTCATTTTCTTCATTGGTGGTGGTAGCATGATGGTGGTCGTATGTGGTGGGATGCATGTATCTTCCGCTGAAAGATCGCCACTCATTTCGCATCTCATTCACGGTCACCTGCATTGTGCTCATCTGGGCGGTCATTTGCCCCATGTAGTCGTACATGCCAGTCATCTGGGTGGACATCTGGCCCATGTACTCGTACATGCCATCCATGCGCTCCCACACACGCTGTAAGGTGATCGGTGGAGTTGAAGTCTGTGCCTCCCTCATTGGCTCGTCTCGAGCTCCTTCATCACCATCATCATCCTCATCATCATCATCATCATCACCAGCACCACCATGAGCCATGTTTGCTCTGACATACTCACCATTACGCAGCTCAAAGCCCATCTTTTTCAGAGATGAAACAGTATAGAACTCCTGCCTTGAGATCCTTAACCCCACCTCTTCACTTAAATTCACATTAAAATGCTCAAATATCACAGTGAGGATCATCCCATAGGGAAGATTCCTGTTTGAACTCTCTGCAGTAGTAAGCATGTGGTTAAAGATCAAGTATGGCAAGTTCACCTTCTCGTTTAACAGTAGGTTGGTGAGGAGCTCCATGTCGAAGTAGGTGACTGTCTCCCGATGTCCACCCTTTGGCAGAATGTTGTAGGAGAGCATGTGGTGAAGAACTCTGGCTTGAACTGTCAGGTGGTTACTCGATGGCCTATTGCGCCCCTGAGCATCTTCCTCTTCATCAAGACCACATACCGTCTGGATTTGCTTGGCTCT